AGCGAAGGCGCTGAGCCGCTAAGGCTAGGCACTCGAGGACTGGCATCCGAAGCAGGGGTGTGTGCAATTAAAGACACGGCGACTTCTGCGATTGCTGGGAATTTCGTTTGTCAGTGCCCGACGGGACCAGGTGCCTTGCACATCATGCGTCCTATCTTCGCGGCAGTTGTAATGAGTTGTAATGATTAAGCATGAGTCATGAGAGCTGAACCTCCGTATGCTCAGACCTTCAGGCGACCGCACAAATCCCGATGCAAAAAAGGGCATGATTAAAATTAGTCATGACACTGTTGAACAGGTCTTGTTGATACGAACCACCAGACACACACTGGGGCAAAATCCGCGGAGTGTCGGCGGATTGGCAAGCAGCACATCGCCGCCATGGCGCGTGGAGGGCTTCGTGACCATGTTCGCCACAGTAGATTTTGGATGGTAGCCTGGTTCCTGGGCACTTTCTGGCACGCGCTTGGGCGAGAGACATTTGCTGGCATCTTGCAGAAGCGGAAACACGTCAGCCTCAGAGCCAGGGACTTTGAGTCCGAGCTGTCTGTACAGCAGATGTTGAAGATGCATCGAAAGCGGAATCCTGACAGAGTTCCTCAGACGGAAAGCCAGCCAGAGGCAACCGCCGTTCTGACGCCCGAGGTGTTGGCAGCAAAACCGAGCTGGCTCCAGTTGAAACCAGCGGCAGAACTCCCCTGTGTCTTCACGCCCCGCGAGGAAGGCGTGAGGAAGCTCGGAGAGCCAATTGAATTGAAGTTCTGGCAACATGCATATGTTCGACTTTGGCAACATGCACGTCTTCACACTGGCGGGGCTGTTGCTGTCCGCTACAGCCGCGGCTCCCTTGCGCGAAGCCCCCATGCTTTTGCACTGTGGCCCTCAGCACCAAGGGAGCGCCCCGATCTGAGTGAAAGGGATCGAAGGTATCGGAAGTGTGGTGTTTGCACACGAACTCCCCCCAGGCAGTATGCAAGGGCTGGTTCTGGGTATGTTCAATCTCACCGCAGGAAGCCGAGTGGAGCCAAAGCTGCCACTGATTGCCTTTTTTTGCAGCTCAATGAGGTCAAGACGATCCATCCTTTTCCAATCTTGCGATTAATGCGGCCTCCGGAAGAGACAGATGAGGACCTTTCTTCTTGCGGAAATGCGATATCTTGGAGCGGGCAGCCCAGAGGAGGTTGAGGCTAACGAGCCGGTCGAGCTGAACGCGTTCCTTCGAAGCTTGGCAGAAGTCTGGAGAAGCCCACGCCTTTGAATTCAGCAGCCGCACAGGAAGCTTGGGTGATCCGGCCAAGCAAGGAGCTGCTATCAGGGTGGAGATCTCAGCTTGGGTGCCCACATTGCGCTTCGTTTGGCATGAGTTTCAAGGACATGACAACTGCGGACCGACGAGCTTTGCTTCGCTGGTTAGCTGCTGGGATTGCTATGGGATGTGCAAAGGTAAGGCACGGTCTGGTCGCTGAGTATATAAGGCTGGCGGCGCAGCAGGGGCCGTGATGCTTTGAGTAAAAAGGCAGAATAAGTTCTGCTTCATGCGCATGCACACGACACATCTCTTCCCATGCCACACTCATGTGTCCCGACTGTGTTGGCAAGCGCTCCAGTTTCATGCCGACCTGACCATTCAGCTGCCACTTCAGTGTCAAACTTGGCATGGTCTGCTGGAACTCTGTTGTAGTACAAACCCCGAACTTATCACGGCAGCTGTGATGTTCCGTGTGCCGTGCGCAGATAGAAGCACTTTAGATACTTTAGATGGGCGCACGCATGTGCGTGCTTATGTGCACGCCAGGCCCGCCTACTCGCCTTCACGCTCGCCCGCGCCCACATTCGCACTCCTGTATGCTTGGGCGGGCGTGTGGGTTAGGAAGTGGGCAATGGGTACACGAGATTTCGTCTATGAGCTGAGTGTGTGTATAAGTGATCTCTAGGTATGCTATGTATACATATATGTTGTTCAGTCGCCATGTATGAGTTTGATAAAGTTAGTAAATGATGATGAGAATTTTCAAGTTGTGTGTTTGAGTGATTGACTTATCAAGTCTGAGAGGACGTCTGCAAGGGCTGCCTTAGTTAGAGTAACTTGCACAAGTGACTTAGGCAAAACATGTTTTTGAAGAGTGAGGTTTGGCAGGCGCGTTTTCAATGCTTTTCGTTAGAGCCCGACAAGACGGGCTCCTGCAAATCGGTGCCGCTGTCTGTACCCACGAGACTCGCCGACGGCAGTGCCATGCATGAACGCATCAACTTGTCGATGCACCGTGTATCTCACCAGATCAAGCTGTAGGCACTTGGCGGGGATACCGAAAACACCTTCCAGAAAAAAGGCACGATGACAAATGGAATGCCACGGCTAAGAGTTCCGCGATTCCTGCTGAGTTTTTCAGCCGTTCAATGGAAGTAGCCGAGCTCCTAAGGCCGGTAAGTGACTTCGCTATGCTGCAGGGATGACTTTGGCGTTTTCGAGCTTTCTGAGCGCATTTCGGCCAGAGATGGGTATGCCTGCGTCTTACGGCCAGCATGTGGCGCCAGTGATTCGGATTCTCACGATTGGGCAAATCAGCACATGGGTCATCCCACGAAGCTTGTGTATCATTTGTGCGAGTGTCATGCAAAAGAGTTGGCGGATGGCAGATGCGAAGCAAGAAAGTAGTCCACATCTCCAAATGGCGATTGGTCACACTCCGCGATTCCGCTCTTGTGGACTGGAGTGCCAATGCAGGTTGCGAGAAATTGCGTGAGATGCATCATGCACTGTGGGTAAGAGGAAGGTAGGAAAAAGCAGCCCCAGACACGGCTATCCATCCAACCGAAAGGGATTGACAACCAGTGCTCGTGACCATGGGCAGCGGATCCGAGATGCTTTGTGAAGCGAGCAGAGCCCCAGCTTGTGGGACCTGGTAAGTACTCCAAGGAAACGAGGGGTTCCCGCTCGACCACGCCAATCCACGCAAAGGGTTGCAATCCCGATCGATGGCATCGGCGCCGCCCCGGCTTTAGAAAGAAAGATAGATATACCGAGATGTAGATAAGTCGCGTACTCGATGTACTTCACTCTGTGTACTTGGCTCGATGTACTTGACTCTGTGTACTTGGCTCGATGTACTATGTACTTCACTCTGTTTACTATGTACTTGGCTCGATGTACTTCACTCTGTCTATTTGGCTCGAGGTACGCTGTACTTCACTCTATGCACTATGCACTTGAATCGATGCACTTGACTCGATGTACTTCACTCTGTGCAGTTGACTCTGTGTACTATGCTCTGTGCACTTGACTCTGTGTACTATGCTTGCATAGTATTCTGTGTACTTGATCCTATGTACTTGTCTCGAGGGCTTCGCACGGAAGAATCCTTCGCGATGCTTTCGGGAAAAGTAGAGATAGATAATAGCGAGCCAAAAGCGCAGTGTGGTCTATGGTGCGGTGTACTTACCCCAGGCCGAATAGAAATCGCTGTAAGCGTGCTATCTATGTATGTTTAAAGGTGTGTAGTGTGAGCATGCGTTGTAATATGTGTGTAGTGTATATGTGTGTAGGTATGTGTATGCATTGTAAAAAATATGTGTGTAGCATGAGCATGCAAGGACCTTTTCCAAAGAAGTCTTCGCAGAGCTTTCGGGAATAAGAACACAACGTGAACATGTCTACATTTCATTCACTCTCTTCCTGTGATGTTTTCTTTATTTGTAGCTTCAACTGCTTTTCTACATCTCTTCTTTCTTCTTTCAAGGTTGTCTTTATTTATCTCTCGCTCTTTACTTGTTTCTGGTTGCGAATTCTTGAAAGATGCCAGCGATGCCTTTCGTCAATCGGTTCTGAAGCGGGGCCACCTATGATGGAAGCAAGCCATGGCGGTGCGAGTGCTGGGAGAAGTGCCCGTTAGCTCTGCGGCTGAGCCAGCGACGGCAAAGAGTATTGTCGGGTGCTTGCTTGCAGCGAATGCTGCGACTTTCTGTTTGTGGGCTGCAGCCCCGCACCTTGGATCCAGTCGTTTGGTGGGCCGCTGGTTAGCTGGTCACTTCCTGTGCAGTCGCTGGCATCTACGATCTGGTAGAGTTCATACACTGATCACGAGCTGCCTATCCCATCAGCGCCCAACGCATTTTCTAGTGAACTCTTGGGGTTTGTGGACACTCGGCCGGGTAGCAGAAGAATTGTCCATCCAGGAGCAGCTGTCTCTCTTCACGGTTTGCTCTGCCGGTTCCAGTCTCGGCCATGTTCTGTGTCACAGGCGCCCAGTACTCGGTGCGAGCGGTTTGCTCATGGGTATTCTGTCATCGGGTAGCCTCATGCAGCCAGAGCGGCGATTTCATGTGCTCTTTGTGGGTACATTCTCAATGACTCAGCTGTGCGATGTTGCTTTTATCTCGAATCTGATTGGCTTCTTTTTGCGAGCTCGCCTGCCCCCAATTGCTTGGGCGGCTCACCTTGGTGGAAGCGTGGCCGGACTTGGCGTCGGCATCGTCGCGCGATTCTTCGGGGACAGTCGCTTTGCAGACCCAGTGCACCTCAGACATCAAGCCCGCCACTGGTGTGCAGCCGAATAGCAGCGAAGAGCAGCAAAAGGTCACGTCTTCCGTGAGAGAGTCTACGCGGTGTCTATTCGAGTCTATCCCGTGCCGAAGTGCGCAAGCTCGGCTCGAAAGGGAGAAAGGGGTGAAACATGGCTGGCCGGGCCCTCGATCCTCGGATCGGAGGTTTCGCTGGTGAGCCGCTCTCCTTTCGCAAAAGAGGACCGGGCGAGGCCCGGCGTACTCGGCGACTGACAGGCCGTGGCACATGGGCACGGGGCACAGCCGGCGCCACGGCAGTCTCGACCACGCTTTGCTCTTTGGACAGGAGCCGCTGTTTGCGGTCTGGCCCTGCTGGCCACCAGCCGGAATGTGGAAGGCTCGAGATTGCGAGTGTTCCGGTCTGCTGGTCGCGGACCGCCGCGGGTCACAGGCTTCCTGAGCCAGAGTATGGGAAGCTTGCGAACTCTTCGAAGACAAGTCTTGACAGGCACATGGAGGGTTTTCGTCGGCTGTTTCTCGAGATTCTAGAGCCTCCCGGTCCTGCAGGTGCCTGGTTGTGGTCGACGTCGCTGGCTGCGGCCACCCTGGACCCCAACCCGGCGGAAGCTCGGTTTGTGCGCCCACAGACCCTGTACCTCGAGAGCTGTCGGATTGAAATCACCAACACGTGATTCTGTGCAGAAAATCGTCGGGCTCCCGTGCGAATGCTGCGAGCGGGACTGGTGTGCAACGACATGCATCGATCTCAAACAAGGAATCTTGGCAAGGAAAGCTCGCCGACACGCTTGCTCGTGACAGTTCTGACTTGTCCTTTCCAAGGGCAGGAGACCAAATGCAACTGCCATGAGTTCCTGAGCGACTATCAGTCCTCCGAGCAGCTCGTCGTGTCAGGCGGTGCCGCGCCCAGGAGGCAAAAACAGAGCAGAGCAGTTTTTTTGTCGCGAATTCCCCTGCAAAGCTGCAGGCCTCTACAAGCTCCCTGCGGATGCTGCCAGGGCTCGGCTCGACAGCATCGAAGCGGGGCAGGGCGAGGAGGGCTGGGCAGGCAAGGCACCAAAAAAGCAGGCGCCGGCTCCTGCGCTTCCTTCGATTTCGCCTGAGACCACCTGTCCTGGAAAACGGCCAACTTGCTGAAGTGGAACCCAGAGGACCCGACGCAAGTTCCCGCCACTTACTGCGCATCACGTGCTGTGCTGTCCAGGACGGGAAGAACCTCCAGATAAAGCCCTCCTCATTGGGTGAAACAGCGGGCGACGGTTTGTTTACAACTGTGCCGCTGCCCAAGTACACTGTGTCCGGCACTCAGAAAGATGTCGTCGTGCTTTGCGTTCTGTCTACTCGGAGAAGTGCAAAGGCTTCCCCCCTATCAGGGCAAGCCTTTGAGCCATGATCTCGGGAGGCCCGTGTGCACAGTGATGATCCTGATCGCAGCATGGCTCATCAGGTCTTGCGGAGTTCCGCAAGATGAGAGGTACCAGCGAAATGGACTACGTTTACTGTCCCCTTCGAGAAGAGGCTTTTCGCGCAGATTGAGGAACAAGAGGCCATGTCCCATCCTCTTTCGAGAGAGAACTGAGGCGCTCTTCAACTTCACCGACGAACAGCTGCAGACTGTCCGAGCCCCAGCCCAGCAGCCAGAAAGAGCCCTCAGAGTTCTCACAGATTCTCACAGTTCCAGGCGGAACAAGCCGGGGCTGCCACGACCTTCTGCGTGGATGGCCGCGTGGCGCTAGAGAAAAACCCGGTGCGTTTTGTCAATGCAGCAAGGACCAAGGAGTGCCTCGTCCGCATCTGCACTGCATCTAGTCTAGTTACGGGTCGGGTGCGGTCGCGTGTATCAAATGTGAGCAGTCGCGAGGCAGTGCAAGAAGGTGAATGTGCAGATCTGCGAGTTCGGCGATGTCGCATACTTCAGGCAAGTGTTAGGCTACAGATCACAGGGCGAGTGGCGTCACTTTATGCGCTTGAGGACAACGAAGGATGTGAAGAAGGGTTCAGAGCTGATTACTGACTATGGGAGTGCGTATTGGGAGGACCATTCGCGATATGCAAGACCGCCCCCTCGGATTCTGCAACTGCTGCAGGACTTCGAAGGATGCTAGCTGCTGCTAGCTGCCGTTAGCGCCAGGGACGGGCCGAAGCGAGAGCTCGGAGCCCTCCTGAAAGAGCGGGAGCAGAGACTCGTTTGCAGGCTGCGTGGCTGCGTGTGCCAGGGGATCTCCGAGCGTTTCACTTTTTCGGCTCGCTCCGCCGCTCCGCTCGGCCGCTCGGCTCTAGCTGCTCCTTCCTCCAGACACGGCCGTGCGGCGTCCTCGGGTTTCACACCGACCCCAGCCATGCAGTCGTGGCATGTCGTGGCATGTCGTGGCATGTCGTGGCACTGAGGCTTCCGAGATGGCACCGAAGCTCTTGAGAGCCCTCCTTGACGATCCAGGGTCAGTGGGCCTCAACGTGGGGCAGTCTCGCTTCTTGATGAAGATGTATCTGGTAGCCGCTGCCAAGCACAGTGCAAGGAAGTCGTTTGTGCTTGCTGTGCGCCTGCGCAAGTGGTAGCTGGCGGTTGCACCGCCCAGATCTCAGTGATGGACAAAGCACACTGCGAGTGACGACCCTGAGCCAAGAGGCTGCTGCCAACTACAGATGCGAAGCTGCAGGGCGTAGCTTTGCTGCTCGATTCGAGGTGGGGGCCGTGACACCGTAGCCGTCGTAGCCGTAGCCGCCGTAACCCGCGGCGCAGCGCTGCTCTGCCGAGGCTACTGATGGCCAGTCGTCTCCGAGTGAGAGCGACCAAGCCGAGGAGGCTGAGGTTGGTGAGGACTACACCACAGGCAAGGGCCAGGACTGTCACTTGTGGTTGCCTTAGCCTTCTCGGATTTGTTGTGAATATTGAGTGCGAGGACAAGTCCTCCGGTGGGTACTTGAAGATCAGAGACTTGACAGCCTGAGCGTTTGCAGCGGGTCGTCTCCAATGTCATCTCCTGTAAGGTGACCTACTGAAAGGAGTCAATCTCTACAATCTCATGGGCATTTCGGAGGGTGCCTCGCAGGCCTCACAATGCCTTGTAGTCGCAGTCTTCTTAGTGCAGCTACGCGCCGCTTGTGTTCTCTACAGGACGAGATCAAGAAGGCCTACAGAGGCTTGGCCCTGACAGCGCATCCGGACAAGCAGGCTGCAATGAAACCAGACGAAGCCAAGCAGGCCACCGGATGCTGTTGCCACCCAGTGCTGTGTGCCCAAATGAGCTTTGACAGCTATGATTCTGCAAGGACACAGGGTGATTGTATCAACCGTGCGACGATGATGACTATGCCAAGTGTGTGCCACCTAAGTAGTATTCGGATGCTGTTCTGGCACAATCCCACGTTTGGCCCCACAACACGACTGACAGCACTATTTGCGAAAGCTCGGGAAGCAGAGCTTGAGTTTAGACATGCTTTTAGCAGGAAGGCCGTCAAGGGCCAGAAACGGGAGGCAAAATATAGTAGCAATTTAGGGAGGGGGTGCGAGCGGGTGGGGGCAAATGGGTAAATTGAACGGTTCGCACGAACCCTGGCCTTGAGAGTGCTTTCAGCACTGATTCTTGACATGGCCAGTGCAATCATTGATGTGCGCTCTCTCCTGTGGCTCAAGTGGTTCTGACAACAACGGCTAGCTCCTCTGCGTGATAGAGAAAAAACTGCCACCGCGTGCAGGCAAGCCAGTAGGTCTTCAACTGGAAGGTGAGGGGGAAATCTTGGGGCAGTGTTCTGGTAGCGGAGCCCGTATGGGGCCCACCACTTCGCCGGAAACCGTCAGAGCGGTTGGCCCAGTAGCAACTCCTTCGGAAGATGCTTTGAAGACGACCCTATGTTGCACGCCAGTCATATGTGTAGGTTCAATGCTCAGCCATCGCGGCATTGCACCGAATAAAGCACCAGCTAGCGATGCTTTTTCAATATGAGCAACTCGTCGGCGACTGGTGTGAAATTACCACGCTGGACACCGTCTCTCAACACGAGGCTCTGCGACATTGCCACAATGCAAACAGGCTTACCGCCGAAGATGGAGTAGCATGTCTTCCTCTCGAGGCGAAGGTAGCCAACACATGTCTGCCGCTCGAGGCGTGGGAAGGTAACCAACACATTGTCACGTGGGTTACCACTTTTGCAGTCGTCCTGCAGCGCGTTCGAATTCTTGGACGGACCTTCTCATGAAGGTGAGTCCGGATGAAGTAAATCCAGATTTTGCGAATGTCCTCAGGCAGGACACAAACTTCTTGGCATTGCAAAATCGAGCAGACCAGGAAGTCTAAGCTGTTATTTCTTCAAGAGCGTGAGTGAGGAAAGACAGCGCAGATCTTTCCCTCTCAATGATGAGCTCCTCTCCCCTTCTTTCTCGTGCAGTCCGACCTGAATGAGCAACTATGTTGGAGATTGGTATGTTCAGTTTCCAATCAGGGCTACGGAATTGAGACGTACACATGCCAAATTGTGCGTCAGACCATGTTTAACTAATCGCAGCCATTCGTACTGGCTTGCAGGACCCAATATCTGGCACTACCGACACGGAAAAAGGAATACTCGCCGAAGTCGCAGGGGCCGCAACTTCCGCATGCTTGACCCAGGGGGATCGGAAGGCGGGATGAGCCACTTTGGAACAAGGGTTCTAAGAAGTTGATGCTGAGAACCTTCTGGGTTACGGGTGATAGTGAAGTGGTCGAGGAGACCCAAAATGCGTGATTGCTCACCAGGAAAAGCAAAAGGCGAGAAGCGTAGAGGAGAGGCCGCTTGTTGCCGTACCGCTCCAAAGGGAGATCCCAATTGCTACAAAGGGGAGGAAAAGGGAAAGGTGGCAGCGGAAACGGAAAGGACAAGGGAGACAAAGGAAAGTCCTTTAAAGGCAAAGGAAAAGATTCAGCCCCGCCCGAATCCGCCTCGTAAGAAGCCGCCGCGCCGGATTGGGATAAATGGCACGAAGACAGCTGCTACGCTGATGAAGGGTTGAGTTTTACATGCCTCAAGAAGGAAGACGCGGAAAAGCAAGAAGAGAAGAACAAACAAGAAGAGAAGAACAAAGCGATCAACAGGAAGAAGCACAGATCCGAGTCCGCGGAGAACACCGTTACGAGAATTGCAGTTCTTTGATACCTTGATACTTGTCACAACAGATGAGGATGAAAGAGCACGGAGCTGAGACTGCCACTGCAGTGTCCCTTTACAGCATACTGTGCTTGCTGTCTGTTCTTTCTGAACGTGTCAAGCTTGACCGGAACCCTACCTACGTCATGCTTGACTCAGTTTGCACTCGTGCCATGGGTTCCCGTTTTGCATTCAACCCTACTGATGGCAAGATTGAGTGTACCTTGTCACCGTCAAGAACAACGTTCTCATTTGCTGACAGTGAGACTGCTCTAATCAAGGACAGAATCACACTGTGGTTCAACACAACTCCACCACGTGACACAAGCGTCGACGTCCTTGACCGGGGCCGTGTTCCTGTCCTGTTCTCCATTGAACAGTTGAGGAATCTTCATATGACTTTGGAATGTAGTCCCACAGCAAATTTGGCGACGTGGAACTCGGCCAGCAACCTTCAATCATCATCATGTCGACCAAGCTCAATGATCAAACTGGCATTCCCACTCATGCAGCCATCCGAGCTGCCGGGCTATGCCATGCTAGGCCTGCCTTCCGTCGAATCATCGGATCGGTGAGACGCGTGCAACGCAATCATAACTGATAAAAGTGCTGCCAACTACTAGTGCAGTTACTGCTTTTATGAGTATTTCTAGTACTACTACTACTCCTACACCCCAAACCCGAAAAAGCGGTGTTGGTAAGCAAACCCTGAACCCCAGAAGCAGATGTTGCTAGCCAAACCCTAAACCCTGAAAGGAGGTGTTGGTAGCCAAACCCTAAACCCTAAAAAGCAGATGTTGGAGAGTAAGCCCGAAACCCTGCAAAAAGATGTTGCAAAGCAAACCGTACAAAGGATGAA